CCACCCACGAGGGGCATACAGATGGAAATCCAAGCTCCTCCAATTCCTCTGTCGGGTCTAATTCTAGCTGTTAACAACCGCTTGAGGAGTGAGCCAGGCAGCAGGAAGAGCTCTCCGGTTTGCTTTCGCTCTGTTTGTTCCTCTACCTCTCAAGTAGATAAAAAATAAACATTAAAAAGAGAAACCCCAGGTCCAGTGCAATGGTGTAGAAATCTAATCTTCTAGCCTGAGGCACTGGCATCTCAAATGGGCATTGGTTTATGTCCCAGATCCTCTTGCTTCCCATCCAGCTCCCTGCTAATGCCTGGACACAGGGATTTGTTCGAAAATTTATAGTTCATCCATACAGCAAACATTAAAAATCACATCTTCCGCATATGTACTGATGTAGAAAAATTCAAGATACATTAAGTACGGGGGTGGGGAACGGACAAAAGACATTATATAATAAGCTAGTTGGAGGGTATTTCAAAAAGTCAGTGGAAAGTGAACTAAAACATAAGTTCAGAGCTGATGCGATGGCTCAAGTGGCAAAGCTTCTACCTCCAAGTCCTGGCATCCCATATTGGCACTGGTTTATGACCTGGCTGCTCACCTCCCATCCAGCTCTCTGCTTGTGGCCTGGGAAAGCAGCAGAGGACGGCCCAAAGCCTTGGGACTCTGCACCCACGTGGGAGACCTGGAAGGAGCTCTGGGCTCTCAGCTTCAGATGATCCCATCTCTGACCTCTGTGACCATTTAGAGAGTGAATCAGCACATGGAAGATCTTTCCCCCACTTTCTCTCTGTAATTCTTTCAAGTAGAATAAATAAAATTTTTTTTTTAGAGAGAGAGAGAAGCCTGTTATATAAGTGTAGAATAATCTAGACAGTGTCACAGTGTTTAAAGGCAAACAAAAAAGGGGTCCAAAAATAGGCTAATAGGCCAACTGGCTTTTCTGACAAAAGTAAAAAAAAAAAAAAAAAAGGACAGTCTTCTTAAAAATGGTGCTAGACCAGACCGATATCCATGGGCAAACACCGAATATCTATCTGTACCTCTCTATATAAACAAGTCAAGTAGATCCTAGATCTACTGTGAAAAATATGAAACTACATGATTTATAGGAAAAAAAACCAAGGCAGCACATTTTATGGCTCCAGTTTTGTGATTGCTTAACTAAACCAAAAAATACAAACCATACAAGAACCTTATAAAACATAGGATTTTGTTTCTGATACTCCCAAAAGGATAAGGAAGATCAAGAGTAGTAGAAAATATTTGTAAAACATCTACCTGACATCTACAAAAAGGATGTATTTTCGAAAATTCTTACAAATTGGAACCAGTACTGAGACTTAGCTGGTCAAGCTACCATCTATGGCACCAATATTCCATATGGGCACTGGCGTGGTGTCCTGACTGCTCCATTTCCTACCTAGCTCCCTGCTTGGAGCTTCCTCCACTGGAAAGGTAGCAGAGGGTGCCCCATGTGCTTGGTGGTCTGCACTCATGTGGGAGACTGGAAAAAGCTCCTGGCTCCTGGCTTCAGACCAACCCAGCTCCAGTCACTGCAGCTATGTGGGGAATGAACAACAGGTGAAAGATTTCTCTTTTCCATAACTCTTCCAGATAAAACATATAAACAAACAAAAATTAACAGACAACCCAGGTGGAACTGGCTGAACAACCCAAGCAGGCACCACACAGTGACACTTTATTCACATTCCCACCAACAGTGTACAAGAATCTCTTCACTTATCCTCGTCAGTGATGTGCCACAGAATGGCAAACAGGCAGAGGCGGTCTCCAGTCTTGAGAGGGTGACCACAGGCACAACGGGACACACATCCACACTTACTTTGTTCTGGTGAGAATCCAAACAGAAACAGCTAGAAACCTTAGATGCTTCTGCCATGGATATAAGATTGTGCAACTGTAGTTTTGAAATTAGTTTGGCATTTTACGGAATGACATTGTGGTGCAGTAAGCTAAGCTGCCACCTACAATGTCAGCATCTCATACTGGAGGCAGAATCAAGGCCTGGCTGCTCCACTTCTGGTCCAGCTCCCCGCAAATGTGCCTGGGAGAGCAACAACAGATGGCTTGAGAACTGGAAGATAACAGAGCTCCGAGTTCCTAGCTTTGACCTGGTCCAGCCTCAGTCCTGTGGTCATCATAGTTCAGCAGATGGAAACTCTCTCTCTCTCTCTCTCTCTCTCTCTCTCTCTCTCTCTCTCTCTCTGTCTCTCTCTCTCTCCCTTTTTCTCTCTTTTTAAATAAACAAACTTCAAAAATAATTTTAAACATACACACTTCAAACAACTCAATAACTTAATATATAACTGGATTAAAATAAGGCCAAAGGGACCTGAATTAACATTTCTCAGAAGAAGACAGGCAAAAGGCCCAGTATATATTTAAAAAAATGTTCAATATCACTAACATCGAGAAGGGCCAATCCGAACCACAATGAGCTATCACCTTACAACCATTAGAACACCTCGTTGGCAAAGATATGGAAAGAGATTCTTGTTTGGTGGGAATGTGAATTAACAAAGCCGTGATGGAAAATCACGTAAGAAATTTAAAATAGCACCACCATATGATCCAACAAGTCCACTACTGGTTACATAACCAACAGCCAAAAAAGCAGTAGTCATTATTTATCAGAGGACAGATGGTGCTGGAGGACATTGTGCTATGTGAACTGAGCAGGGACAGAAGGGCAAATGTGAACTCATTTAGGTGTGGAATCGAAAGTCAAACTCAAAGAAGCTGAGAGGAGAGGAGCTTGGTGGACAGGGTGGGGCGGGCAAATTTGGAGGGATGCTGCTCACAGGGCACAAAATTTCAGTTAGTGGCCCAGCACGACAACTCAATGACTAATCCTCACCTTGCAAGAACCCTGGCATCCCTTATGTGCACTGGTTTGTGTCCTGGCTGCTCCATTTCCCATCCAGCTCCCTGCCTGTGGCCTGGGAAAGCAGTGGAGGACAGCCCAAAGCCTTGGGACCCTGCACTCATACAAGGGAGACCCAGAAGAAGCTTCTGGCTCCTGGCTTCAGATCAGATCAGATCAGCTCCAGCCCGTTGCAGTCATTTGGAGGAGTGAACAAGTGGGTGGAAGATTTTTCTCTGTGTCTCTCTTTCTCTCCATAAATCTGATCTGCCTTTCCAATAAAAATAAAGAAATATTTAAAAAATAAAATTCAGTTGGAAAGAATTAGGTCAAGAGATTATTTTTGTGAGTAACATATTTGAAATGTGCTAAGAGTTCTGGTAAACTTCTGACATGTATTTCCTTATCTGAAGAGCAGAGAAAGGAGTTAACTCCCCCAGAGTACTGTACTGGCCAGGGTCTGCCCAAGGCCTAAAGCAAAAACTCAGTGCAGGATTCCCATGTGGGTGTCCAGAACCCAAAAACTCGAGCTGTCGCTGCTGGCAGCTCCAGGTCTGCATCAGCTGGAAGCTGGAATTAGGATCTGGGGCCAACTATTTAAGCCCAGGGCAGTGGGATGGGGTGGGGGCTCCCCAACTGGCAGCTCAACCAAACACCTCGAGAAGAGCACATTTTAGGCGTTTTTCTTTTTTTCTTACCACAAATAAGTAAACATGTGAGGTAACACAAATGTGAGCCTGATGTACCCTTTCCATGGTGTATACAAACTCCAAAACCTCATGTTGTTCACAGATACACACAATTGTAAGTTGCCAGTCACAAAATTTTAGAATCAAACCTAAAATTCAACACACAACTGCTCTATGACTCAACACTGTCATTTGTAGGCGTTCACCCGAGACAAATGAAAAATGCGTGTCCACACAAAGACCTACACACGGATGCTCAGAGCAACTTACTTTCTAGACTGAAAAACGAATATTCATCAACAGGTGAATGGATCCACGGCCCGTGGTAAGCTCAGACCATGGAACTGTACTGTAAGACAGCGATATCCAGACAGTATGAAACACATCAACGAACCTTAATTATGCGTAGCGAAATAAACCAGACCTCCTTACCACCCAAGAGAGGGGCTGTAGGATTCTATTTATATAAAAATTACAGAAAAATAGACACTAATTTAGACTGACAGAACACAGAACAGCAGCTGTGTAGGGATACGGGGAGGAGCCGGAAGAACTACACCAGGACATGGAGATCTTTGATTGCGTTGCTCACTCTGATGGTAGCCATGGTTTTGCAGGGATGAAAACAACTGTCAAAGCCCATCACATCACACACTTCAAATGCGTGCTTTGAACATCATCTAGACCTCAAGACAGCCATTTTCCAAAAGTGGAATGAGAAAGAAAATCATACTTGTGTACACCAATGTGAGACACAGCTATGACACGCTCACATGTTTAAAAGCCGTGCATGACACATGTACCAAGAGATACCTCCGTCTCACTCTGCCATTTGTAGATGTGTTTTATATGGAATACCTGGGAGGCACACGGATACAAGTCTGAAGACACACCTGTTCGTCCATTTAACCCAGTTTGAGACTTGAAGAAGCAATACAGAAGGCTTGTCATCTTACCCATCCCTGTATCACTTGAACTATGGGTATTAGCTATGCATTGTTTCTGAGGTTTAAAAAAAAAATAGAAGAAAACGAAAAAAGAAATGATAAGTTTTAAAATATCCCGGGCAAGATAAACAAAGGCAAAAACCAAATGGACTTCTTTTACGGAACAGAAAGAAGGGGTCTTGTGTTGGGGACAAAGTTACGGGGGAACACACACCAAATTCACCTGAACATAGATGATTCATTGCTGCTCCAACCCAGAGGAAAGTCACTACTTTCCTGGACCACCCGGGTGGGTGTCAGCAGGTGTCTCTTCCTCAGGTGTTTCAAGGCACAAAAGTACCAAGTGCTTCAAAAGACCCACAGCCTTCACTCTGATGGTAGGGGTTAAGGAACATTCAAGACCACAACAAAAATCTGGCAAGTTCTCTTCTAAGTCTATATTTTTTCGGTTGGAGGAGAGGGTGAGGGAGGGGAGTTCAATACCTTGGATGATTTTCTGCTGCTGCTGACGAATTTCCTCAAAGCCCAAGCCTCTGGTCTCCTCTGGCTCCTCGAAGAGCCAAGGGTTGGGCGCTCCTCGCTTGGCTTCATCCCTCATCAGACTGGACCTAAGGACAATGTTAGATGCGTTACATACCTCACAGAACCACAGCTCAGTTGCAAACTACTCCCCCAAGTGCAGAGATGGCCAGCCTCACGTGCTCTGAGAATTTACACATAATTCACTGCATCCAGAATTTATGCTAGGAACCGTGTTTGGGGCTGTTTAAGAGATACAGGTCTGAATAAGGCACAGGAATTTGTCCGTGGAATTACAGCCCATGAGAGGTATGATGGGAGAACCACTCATATTCATCTCCCACAACTAAACAAGAGGTTAGGAAATGAGGTTCTTATTGTTGTTATTCATTTCAAAGGCAGAGTTACAAAAAGAAGGGAGTCAAGATCTTCCAGCTGCTAGTTCATTCTTCAAATGACCACCATGGCCAGAGCTGGGCCAGGCTGAAGTCTGGAACCCAATGCTTCTTCCAGGTCTCCCACATGGGTGTAGGGGCCCAAGTACTTGAGTTGTCTTCTGCTGCTTTTCCCCAGGAAAGAGCTATAAAGCCAGCTCCATAAAGCAGGGGGGCTGGATCAGAAGTGGAATAGCCATATGCTATAACATTGATCCCAGTAAATAAGGTTCTTTGATTATTATTTTAAAGATTTCCTTTATTCATTTGAAAGGTAGAGAGAGGAGACAGAGGTCTTCCATCTGCTGGTTCATTCCCCACATGGCTGCAACAGGTGAGATGGGACTGGTCCAAAAGCTGAAGCTTTTCCTGGGTCTCCCTCATGGACGCAGGGGTCCAAGTACTTGGACCATCCTCTGTTGCCTTCCCAGGCCATCAGCAGGAAGCTGGATCAAAACTGGAGCAGATGCCCATATGGAATGCCTACACCACAGATGGAGGCTTACTTACCCTGCCACACCACAGCACTGGCTGCATATATGAGATTCTTCACTGGCCTTTTCACTTAGGACAAGTTCTGTCATACGCCAAAGGTAGAAATATCATCTCTTAAGCAAATACAATGTTTTGACTATGGATTATATAGCCTAGCTGCTTAAGTCCTTGCCTTGAATGCACTGGGATCCCATATGGGTGCCGGTTCTAATCCCAGCAGCTCTACTTCCCATCCAGCTCCCTGCTTGTGGCCTGAGAAAGCAGTCAAGAATGGTCCAAGGCCTTGGGACCCTGCACCTGCATGAGAGATGCAAAAGAAGCTCCTGGCTCCTTGCTTCTGATCAGCTCAGCTCCAGCCGTTGCAGCCACCTGAGGAGTGAATCATCAGAGAAAGATCTTCCCCTGTACATCTGACTTTGCAATAAAAATAAATAAATCTTTAAAAAAGGGAGGGGTATTGGTTGCCCACAGTAACAAGACTTCAAATCCAATTACATGAATGTAATTTAGTATTCATAACATAAGCAACACACTGAATGATCAAGCTTCATGCTTGACTCCATCTGGTAACCCACATGCTCCTTCTTCATCAGACACACAGCTCGCATGGTCCAAGCAGCAGGGAACACACAGTTCCCACCTCGGGGCCTATGTATGGGGATTCTTATGTGTCCCCTCTTCTGTCCCCACCTGTCCATGTCCTGTCCAAGAATCAGTCTGTTCCACAGACCATCCCCAACCACTGCCACATACAGGATGGAGCCCCACTTTGGAGTTCTGAATGAAGATGCGACTGCTGTGGCGGCAGCAGTGGGAATCTCAACACTCAGTTCTCCCCCTGTGCAGGTACAGCCCCAGGTTTTATGTGTATCCACATGTTTCTCCATTACTCAGCATTCTTCCAGCCCTGATCACATCTCTCCTGGTCCAGAAATAACTGCCACTCTGTCCAGCCTTCCACACTGGATTCATCTAGTGGACAAATCCCAGGTCCACTGGATAAGAGGGAAGAACTGAAAATCATCCTTCGCTATGATGCCTGCAGTTTCCCTCCACAGAGAGAACAGCTACCAGTGCATCACCCATCCTCATGACAGATGGCAACAGCTGCTCTCGCTGGGGTGGGGAGGGGCGTGGAATGGAAATCAGCCACGTCTTCAAACCAGCTGCTTGAAACTATTACGTGCATGGTATTCTAATCAATGCGGATACAGAAAAAAAAAAATACACACAAAATAGGCCAAAATCATTGCCCTTACAAAACAAATACTTTATTTACTTATTTATTTTGTAACTAAAAGTCAGAGTTACAGAGAGGGAAGGAGAGACAGACAGAATCTTTCATCCATTGGTTCACTCCCTGGATGATTGTCAACAGCCAGCACTCTGCCAGGCCAGAGCCAAGAGCTTCCTTTGGGTCTCCCATGTGGCTGACAGGGGCCCAAGCACTTGTGACACCTGCTGCTGCTTCTCCCAGACCATCGGTAGGGCGCTGGATCAGAAGTGGGGCAGCTGGTACTTGAACAGTGACCCCAAATGGGATGCTGGCATTGCGGTAATGATTGCACACACCATGCCACAAATTCAGCCCCATAAAGTCGGAATGCTTCCTGCAGGTGCTGTCTTGATTCTGAGGAAAGGTGTGGGTATGTTGGGTATGTGTCGGGGCTACAGGTGGAATACAGCGTGCAAAAAGTTTGCAAAGTACTTAACCTAGCAGAAGCACTCGGAAGAAAACAACCACTCAATGAATGTAACTAGCCATCGCACTGTATAAAGAACTCATCAAAGCGCTGGTATCACATAAGCGAGTCCATCCCAAAAGCTCTAGGAATTTTTAGCTTGGTGCCTTCGACCCCATAGAGGAATAGGATAGGTTTCAACCAACGGAGCCAGGTAACACTAGAGGAAAATGTTGAATTCCTTAGGCCGTGAGACTGTAAGCACTCAGCTAGTCTCCTCTTCCTCAAGCGCATGAATCAGCATGTCATACGGGGACACAAAAACTTCTGCCTCGGTATCAGAGACGCAGACTTGTTCCCTTCAAGCCTCATTTGAAGTGCCTGGGCTCGAGTGTCTGCGTGTCACATGGGATCCGTTTAATCGCAACCGGCAAAAAAGGACAGGGGAAAATCTGTGCTCCACGTACAATCCCCTCTTGCACCACCTTGCTAAAACACAAAAACAGAAACAAAACAGGACTCCTGGGAGAGTCCGGGTCACTGAGAAGCAAGTGCCAGAACCTGTGGGACAGGTCAGAAGTGTGTCAGCTGCCTCAGAAGTGCACCGGTGGCCAGCCGAGAGCAGCCACTTTAGAGCAAACCTCTCTTGGAGTTCATGCTGGAGTTTCTTTGTGGTCGTTCTTGAGACTCACACAGCATATGGTCAAAAATCCACTAGAAGGGGGAAAAAAAAAACCTATGCAGTAACTCTTTCAACAGGTTAAAAAAAAATATGGCAAAGTAGAAATGTGGCCATATATACATGTATATATATGAGACTGAGAAATACATATTTACATATGTAAACAGCAGTCAGAGAATCAATGACAACATGGGCATAATTTAGTATCAACAGCAGATCCACTGCTGCCTTTTTTTCCCTCCTCTCCCCTTCAGTGTTTCCATTCTGCTGATAACAACGCCTGTCACTGACAAGGTCACGGGTGACCTTGCACGCAGGACCCTGGCTTTGCTTTTCACCCAGCCTCATGCTCAGCTCGACTCTTGAGGTGGTGCCTTCTGCGACTCAGAACTGTTGCAGGTGCAAGGAAACTGAAGGAACTAAAAGCATCATTTTTGCTTTCAAGGAGTTTCTAATCAAACCGGACAGAGAAACCCAACCGTGCTGACACACACTGAATTAGGCCAAGTGCTATAATGTCTCTGGCTGTCCTGGGGTAATTCCAGCAACTCCTTCCTCCACCCCCCATTTTCTCACTTGTGAAAACATGTAGCTGAAGGGTTTCCTGCCTCCCTTCGGGCCAGCAGCGGGCACAGGACACCTTGCTAACAGTGGCACTGGACACAGTGTGGGAAGCCTCAACTTGGTGTGAGGAGGTGGGCACCCTTCTAGACCCTATGACTTCCTGTGGATGGAAATTGCTATGCTAAATGATCTTTAAGATCCTCACAGCATTCATTAACAGTTTCCTCATGAAATGCATAAATAAGAACAGAAGAGGAAAAAACAGTACTTCCCCCTTAAAACCTATTTCTCTCTCTCGCCCCTCGTTTTCTCAATTTGTATAAATTCACAACTGACTGACTACTCGCTGGCTCAAGCCAAAAGCCTTGGGCTCTCTCTCTCACACTCTGCATGGTCTAACCCATCAGCCAGTCCCTCCGCCTCTCCTCTCTGTCCTGGGACCGCTCCAGCACACCTGTTGCCTGCCTCTACTCCTCCTCTCCCTGCAGCTGCCAGAGCCTTTGCTGCACATGAGAGCCTGCTTCGCCCATTCCCAGCCTTCCGGGGTCTTCCCACCCCCGCCAGCGTCAATGTGCAGCATCTTCGCCGAGCCTCTTGGCTGACTCCGGAGTGTGCTAACATTCCGTCACAGGGCTGACGCTCTCGCCTCCAGAGACCCACGGCCTGCCTCCTCACCACACACCATCTCTGCTGCCCTTCCACTCCACAGCAAAGAGCGGTCTTCCCTGCACTCCTGGTCTGTCTCTTGACTGCACTCCAACTGCCAAATGGCATAGATCTTCATATTCTCACCGCTACACTGTAAGCTCCATAAGGCTAGGAACCACTTCTCATTCATCACTCAGGCCCAATGGGCATGGAGAAAAAAATTCTGCCTTAAAATTTTCAGCAAAAAAAATATATATATATATATATAATGTATAATATACATATACATAAATGGATTAATCCAATCAGGAGAATTATCAGGGGTAGACATTTGGCATGGCAATTAAGGCACTGTTTAGGCCACATGGAGTTGCCTGGCTGAACACCCCAGCTGGGCTACCTAATCCAGCTCCCTGCTATGGAGACAACAGGTTGCAACTCAAGGGGGTTGGGTCCCTGCCACCCACATGGGAGGCCCAAATTGAGTTCTGGGCTCCTGTCTTTGACCTGCCTGAGCTCTAACTGTTGCAAGGCACCGGGGTGTTGAACCACCCAGAAGATCTCTGCCTGTCTTTCTTCTAAAA